TAATATGAACTCATTGATGGGGTGTATATTGCCAATAGCGTTTCATGTTGTTTAGTGGAATTTTATTTCCCACGCTGCATTCTGGGCGATTCGCAGATGGAAGAGCTCCTTTGACAGCTGACTGAATCGATTTTACAAAATCAAAGCGAACAAAGCGAATATAAATTGAAGTGCTCCACTGATCGTAGCTATGGAAAATGCGAAGCATAGAGGTATGTTTTCCTGAATGGTTGCTTGAACAAGAGAAAGCTAGCGTTAATTTTCTTTACCCCCTGACAGAGCAATTAAGAAACCTCACACTTGTAAGTAACGACTTTTAAGTTTCAATTGCAACGAGAAGAGACCATGGAGCGAAAAAAAATTCCAAAGCATCCATTGCGTACTTGAGAGTCTCCCACGTGTTAGAGCTAATCGCCATAGCTAATGACTGGCATCTTGTCATGATTTTTTCCCTTTCGTCGCAGTTTGGCTGCGCGATCATCGCGCTAATTGTACTTTTCCATCCTCTGATGCCGCCGCGCGCGGCGCGCTAATGTCATTTTTCGCAAAAGCGAGACACATTACCAAGCTCATCAATTCATCTTCGTCGCATAGGCCTATGCGCAACGATCGATTTTCTAAACGAGCCTCAAGTGAGAGAGGGATATGTGCAGACGCGCGCGCGCGCGCGCGGCTCTTTCGCAATGTTTTTCACGGATCGGCAGTTATTTGCGCAAAAGCCGCGTAGATAGCGCGGGATGTAAAGCCGCGGCCGAAGTCGGAAAACGAATAAAAGAACGCGCTTATCGAGGAGTCGAGCCGCGCCAACAGACCTTGGCATTCTGCTGGCCGCAGGTGAGGACCGCTCTCGGCGCACTCGTGCGCGACGGTGCGTTAATTAGCGCCGCGCCTCATCTCTCCTATCTGTCCTATATCCCATTCCGTTTCCGCGGCACGTTTTATAGCGGGCGCCCGTGCGCGACAAAGTGTATGCACGCATAAACCTACCTAATCGAAAGAATCAGCGCTGCTGTGCTGATTGAAAGCGTTAATAATCGGTTTACGCGTGCGCTTCCACTTGATTTCGAGTTTTCCAGGATATAGTTTTGACGCGTTGCGCTAATGCAATTAACTAATGTGTCGATTTTTTTATCATCTTGAATCGTGTAATATATGGAAAAACTAATTGACGTTACTCTTTTATCTCGTAATAATTAAGTGTACGAATGAACAGTGCGAACAGTTTCACACCAAGTTATTATTTCAGCACTGGTATCAGAAAGAGGCATCAAAAGATTAGCCTTTGCATGGAGTAAAATACGTGGACCAATAGTAAAAGGTATAATTAGTCAGTCGAAGCTCCATTAATCAATTGTATTTTGAATAATTATGTAAATACGTATCCATTGTCTGGATCGGATTAACCACTGCGTAATATGTTAATTTCGCGAGCCAATATAATCATATTACGACTATTTTTTTAAAAATTACATCGAATGCAGAGAGCAGCAGCTCACATCTGATGAGATAATTGAATTGGCTAATTTACTTAGCCGGATTCAATCTCGATAATAGTATAAAATTCAAATGTGCATTAGCAAAGTAAACAAAATTAGCCATTTTGCGTGTGCCCTCCCTCCCTCTCAGAGCGCGTACATAAAAGCGGCCGCTTGGAAAACTTGATTCCGAAGTATTCAAATCTTCCTCACTCGCGCGTTGCTCCCTTTGCCTATACCCCATTTTGCCGTTTTTTTTTTTCGTTTCTCTCCCATGAGACTCTTTCTCTCAATTTCTATTAAGCCATCCGCCAATCCAGCAGCAACGAATCGAAAGAGCCAATCCATTTAGCGAGTATGCAAACGCGGGCGCGCGTTGCGAAAAAATTCGCATACCCACGCAGGGTAAAAAATAACGGCGGGTCGACGAAATTGCAGGGTCTACATTTGTAGACGGTATTCCGCCGAAAGACAAAATCGGAATAATATCGGTGCGGCCTTGCGCAAGCTGGCTGAAGCGCCGCCGGCGCCTGCTCGTAAATATTCAGCGTCACTGCTGTCGCTACCTCCTCCGTGTATTAATCTAATGAACGTTTTGATTAGATTTCAGAGAAGGAGCCGCTCGGGTTCTGGGCCATTCAGCTCGCTACGGCACGGCATTACAATGGGAGGACGCGAGCAGCGTGTGGGTATAGGTTGCGCAAAAATGCTACGTACCCGGGCGTTTTGTAGATAAAAGAAAGCGAGCACATCCGTTACGTCACGAGGGAGGGAGAGACGCTTCGAATTAGCTACACATTCACATACACACGGCTGACTTGATATTTCTTGCTCCACTATAGCTTTGGTCTCATCGTGTTCTGTGCCTTCAGACGTGCATTATGTCAAGCACACGAGCTCAGCAAAGATTTTGACTTTATAGTATGTGAAGTTACCAGAACTTCAAAGTACTTCAGAGCCAGGTTAGGTAGTCTCTCGGCTTATCTTCTGCTTTTGGTTTTAACTTCGGCGTCTTCGCTATCTCGTGTGAACTACTTATCCGTGCATTTACTTTCGGTCGATCTGAAATGGGGTTGTGGAAGCGCCGAATGAAAGTCGAAAATCTCGCGCGAGCTAATCCGTGCAAAATCCGTCGTTAAACTTCCAATTACAAAACATATTTGCGAGGTGCATCGTCAAATTAGCCCGTGGTGCGCGCAGCAGCGCTCGTTCATGGAAAAGCCTGGCGTGGGCCGACGGAAGCGGCGAGCACACGAAAAGGTTGCCCGACTGGCTTCATAAATAATGCGAGCTTAAGCGGTCAGGGAACGCGCGTTGCGGTTTCACGCGGACAAATTTCTCCGCGATTGCGGAGGCTCGCGGCCGCGGCGCATGCATCATCATTGGCCGCCGCGCGCCGGCACGCTCACCTCGCAGTGTCAAGCTGCGCGCGCGCGCGCGCGCATGTCGCGTTCACGACTCTCTCGCGCTCGGCGTGCATTACACGCAGCCAAGATGTTTATCACGATGTTATGCCCGTATTTATCGCGCGCCGAGAGCAAAGCTTCTCCCGATTTACGAGCGCCAATTGAATTTTGCACGCAGGCTCGATGTTCTTAACGAGAGCGCGTGCCTCCGCCGCGTGACGTAATTGAAGTAAGTGCGGCAAGGCGGCGATGAAATATCGGCGCATCCGACAGCGAACTCAGCTTTACGACAGATTAATAATGTAAAGCGGCATTTTATGCGTGTGTACTTTAATGTTGCGAACGATGAGTGCCATTGACGGCAGCTCCGTATACCAACTATCTGTTGTGCTGACTCTTCCGTGTATGTAAATAATGACGGAGCTCTTGTCATAAATCAGGCGTAATTAGTATACGTTTCTTTTTCATTGAACTCTCTGCGAAAGTTGAGTGATTGAAAAAAACAAACTAGTTACGTTATTATCTCTGATCGCGGGGGTAGGGCTTATACTTTCATCGCGATGTTTGAGCATCAGATGATTTTTTTCTATTAATATTTTATGGCATATTTCGAAAGTTGACAGTCTTCTTTTTAATTAACTGTTGATAATTTCACTAACTGTTCGTCTCGCAAGAAACATGCAATTGTATTAATCAGCCATTTATCACTACTGGCATACAAAGGATGCTGATTTTGATGAAGATGGAGACAGAAAGCCGAGGGGAACGGACTCGACGTTGCCTTGGAAGAAGGTGTCGATAGTCAAGAGTGAGGATAAAAAGGAAGCCATTCTTCTTTTCCCTTGCGCTGCTCGAGGAAGGCTCGCGCAATTGGGCCGGTCCATATAGGTCCATGGGAGCGGGATGCTTTCGTCACACGCGCAACGTGCTCGTTCTGCGGTCTGAGAACGGCACGCATACGCGCTCCCAGGCTTGCACGTAAACCTTTCGTTGTTGAACTTGCCGGCCGCGACGTAGCGGCTAGATGCAGGACGCGCGCGAGATACTCTGACCCGCGAAGCCATACGCGCGCTCGCGCGTCAAGATCGGGCAATTTATTAGCCGCCTCAGCGACGCATTCGATATTGAATTTTCGGCAACGTGTCGTACAACTAGACTCGACTGCTCTAGCTCTGACACCCACGCCAGTCGAGCCAAGGCTTATTGAATTTACGAGCTCGGGGCCGCCGTATTATAGAGCCTTGCGACAATTTTATGCCCTGTGGATTCAAGCGAGAGCTCGAAGGCAGTGGGCAGCACTATGCTTTGTCATTTTAATTCAATTCTAATGTCTTGAATGTTTACATCGTTAACAAGTTTCTTTCATTTTCATTATTATTTGATAACTCTTTTCATTAAATGAAGTCATACACAGCGAACGAATTGCGCGTAATAGTTTTTATTAGCGAGCTCATCGTCAGCAGCCCGAGGGCAGAGTGTGAGTGCCGAAAAACTTTCACATACCCATCAAGGTCGAAGCGTGTGAGCCATTTAATTTGTTTCAATTCACGCGACGCGATGGTAGGTGTAAGGGAAATTTCGCGAGTCGCGATCGGACAGCCGTTTGTTATCGAAGCTCATAAATCGCTCTTAAGTATTTTTTAATACGCTCAATTTGGTAATTGATCGTTCCGGGTAATAAATAATGAGATGCTGCTTGCTTTTGGGGAAAATGCAGTATATGCGAGGTAACATCCAGTGGAGAAAGTGATGTTCCGCTGTGTATGCGATAATTACGAAAAACACGCGAGTTTAAAGGTAGAGAGCAAAAAGACCGTTGCGTTAATTTTGTTTGACTAACTTGAGGTATGTATATATTGTGAAAAAAATGCCCTCGTTTAAATCGGATTGAAAACAAGGAAATGATATGTACACTTGGGAATGCGGGAAAGTTTATAGCCAAAATTAATTATAAAAAAACAAAATTCCAATGGTACAAGAAAAATGGTACGGTATTTTGATATTTTGCAACGTAATGTTCGCGAAAATGGGATGGTACAGGAGAGCGGAGAGGAGATATAAGCTGCAATCAGACGACTCGTAGTCAATCATTTTACTTTCATCACGATAAAAAAATTTTTCATTTCTTCCTGTACTTGTATCCTTCGCCAGCTGGTGCCTGCGCGGAGGGGTAAGATGCAGTGCCTTCGTAACGAATCATTGGCCGGTAGCCATTTGCGTCAGCAATGTAGTCAACGTATTGGTGTCTTCCATCTGGAAGTAGAACGTGATAGCTGCCGGTTGCCTCATCGTCTTTACGCATTTCGTGATGACCAAAATCGAGGCCCACCTGAGCGTCTTGCACCTCGTACGAAAACTCGTAGTTTACTGGGTCCTGCGAGTGGCACACGTTATTATGGTTACTGTTACTGTTATAGCCAGCCTCATGATATCGGCTCGCTCAACGCTATTTGTGCCCGCAGAGATAGTACCTGCACGTACTCGAGATAAATAGCTGATACTTTGTTTGGCGCCGCGTTCACTGTTTCTTTTTTTTTCTTTTTTTATTTTCTTTTGCGCCCACTATCGGAAAATCGTATCTTGTCTTTACGGAAATAATAAAATCTCGGTTGTATGTCCTTGTTTCTTGGAGGAACCGATAGCAGCTATCTTATTGAACAGATTTCCTTCTTATTTCCTCGAAGTTGGTGAAAAAGTTTGTCGATCTCATTCTTTTTTTTTTTATTGCAAAATGATTTGTTCAAACACGACTCGATTCCCACAAGAATAAAATTGTCTGTTGAAACATACGTATGCTAATGAATCTACGAGAGTTATCCATGCGTAGACACTTGTGTTGAGTAATTAGCGACTTTGAAAAAGATCAATCGCAAAAGTCAAGTACGTGCAGAACGTCACATTGGAACTCGAGTCGAGTGCCACGAGTACTGCAGAGCACTCGAAGGGTTTTCGTTAATTAACCAAGGAATGTGTGCTCGAGAAGGGAGGGAGAGCAAGCAAGAGAAAGTGAGAGAGAGAGAGAGAGCGAATCGGACATTGCATACCCCAGCCCATTCATCCGGATGGCCCTGCTGCGGCCTCGGAGCTACAGGCGAAGAGCCGCCGGATGGTGGCAGATAAGCCGGGCCCTGCGGCACGCTTCGAATTCCAGGCAGCATTGTCATAGTCAGCAGTAGTACCGGCACCACCTGACGAAGAAAATGACGCGTGAACTTGCGAGAGGCGTATCTGCCCGAACAAATTGAGGCGCTTTGAAGCTGCTACTCAAGGAGTCCAACACGCTACGTGATCAAACGAAATTCAACCGAGAGAGAGAGAGAGAGAGAGAGAGAGAGAGAGAGAGAGAGAGAGAGAAAGAGAGAGACTACCGACCTGCAGTCACTGGCAAAATTAGCGGCTTTCAGCGCAAGCGAGCGAACGCCTGGCTGGGAAGCCGTTTTAATTATTCTCGGCAGTATTTCAGCTGCGCGGATTTGGGTTAATTAACTTTTCAAGTAGCTTTTTTCCAATTTTTTTCCAGCTTATACTGTCGCTTGCTCGTCATTGATTAATACTTAATTGAGAAAATTATTTGCCTATAATTTACTTTTACACGTCAATATGTTTGTTGAAATCAGCTCGGCGAGAGTCATAATTTTTCTATTGGACTACACTTGAATCAATAAAAAAGAACTTTTTATTTATTGAGGTTTGAAAACTGATTTCACGTTATTAATTTATTTGAACGTCCTGCTAAAGTATGGCAACAAATATTTCGTTCGCTCCTCGTCGCGTGATCAAAGCAGTTTCAAAAAGCTTATATTTTATTGAATTTGAGATATTACATTTTAGTGTCCTGGCGGATTAAATTATTGAAGTTAAAATCAAAATGAATGGAATTTGATGTGCGAGCATGATGAGATTTTGTTAATTATCTTGACGTAGCAACATTGAAAACTAATTGAAATGATATAGTCAACTATATTAATTAAAGGGAATTTCCATCTGTTCAATATTTTAGTTTTAATTTTAATTCACATTGGATATGGAGTGAGTAGAATATTAAATAAATAAATATTACCTGTAAAAGCATGAGTGTAGTGATAGAATTGCAAGTTGACGAACATAAAACTGAACTAAAGCCTCGAAGAGACAATCAGGCGTTTTATATAGTACGACTCCCGATTGCAAGCGATGATTTGAAATAGACTTCAAAATACAGTAATTTGTTGGATTTACAATACAAGTGTAGCGCTGTAATTACATTTAATAAGAAAACCGCAGATTTGTGACAGCACCGATGACGCCAGAGCAGACGTACGCTGGCTTGACAGGTTTGTACGCGTCGATTTCCTGTTTTGCGGTACTCTTTTAATCATTGAGTACTTTGCGTTGACTGTCCTTATTATTTAAATGTCTACTCTTTTATTGCAATACGATGACCAAATTGAAAGGATTAATCAGTTAAAGATTGGAACTTTTAGAAACAAAAACATCAAATTCATAAAAAAAAAGAATCAACGATCTAATTGATGCTTTATACGATAAGGTGTCGAAAATACCCTTTCTATATTATTGCGTGACTGCATCACCATCATGTGTTATGCAAGTTATACGTGGGACGCTAGAGCAGAGGCTTAGTTTACACATGCAACCGATTACGCCATAACGTACTTTTCTAAGCCATCTTCGTCTTGTAGTGATACAGATTCTTGGCTAGCAGATCTTTATATACGATTCTTTAGTTCAACGATTAAGTGCAAATACAATATGTACTCGGATAAACACAAATAAGACATTGATATAATTCAAGGACCTAATTAATTAGATGCACAAACTGTGAACGTCTGCTATCAATCTTCAGCAATCAATTTGTTAATCACTATTAGAACGAAGGAATCCTCAATACATCTTCAAAATTAAATGAAAATATATTTCTAACAATGAAATAGTATTTTAGCATCAATACTATTAAACTATTAAGGTATATCATTTATCAAAAAAAAAACATACATTGGTATGGCCGACCGCATGATTTATTGCTAATGCGGACTTTTTTTATGCTACGACAACTACATACATTTTTTCGTTAAGCATAGTGCTAAATTTGATAAATAAATAAATTGGATGTAGTGACATATTTGTCAAGTGTTTTGCAATGCAAATATATAAAAAGTGTTACAGTAGACTTTGTTAAGATATAATACTTCTTAAAATTAATACTGATACTAGCACATCTTGTCATTCCACAACAAATAACATATGACGTGAACATTATACAATGCACGAATAGTCTACATATAGATGATACATACTCATAATGATGTACACAATTAATATTGATATCCGCCATTAGCTGCAGCATCGCCACCGCTCCCTGCAGGGTAACCTCCACCTCCTTGATTAAATCCACTACTTGGACCACCAGAGGGATAACCTAATAAACAAATTTATTGTTGTAATCCTGAATACTGAATACAAATCATACGAAAATCTCTTTACCGTTACCTGCTGCACCACCACCACCGAAATTATTGTTGCCGAATCCACCTTCTTGCCCTTGTCTTTGACCGCTAGGACCGCCTGATGGATATCCACCATTGCCACCATTATTTCCACCTCCACCAAAGCCTGAACCTTGAGGACCTGATGGATAGCCACCGTTTCCACCTTGTTGTCCACCGAATTGGCCACCTTGTTGTCCTCCGAACTGGCTGCTTTGTCCTCCGGATGGCCCTCCAGAAGGGTATCCGTCACCACTATTGCCTCCAAAGCCGCCAGCGCTACCGCCACCCGAAGGATAACCTCCACCACTGCCTCCAGCTCCAGCGCCAGTATTAGCTTCGCCTTCATATCGAATCTGGGGTTTAAATCCATCTTGATCAGCCTCATATTCAACAATTTGTTTTCTGCCATCAGGCAGCAGAACATTAAATTCGCCCTGCGCTCGATCACCGTCGCGCATTTCTGTATGTCCGAAATTACTACCGGATTGATCATCTTTCACTTCATATGAGAATTCGTATTTTGCTGGCTCCTAGAATTTAATTACAAGTCTATGGATTTCTTTTCGTTTTCATTTATAAACTAATGATTTCCAATATTGCATCTAATGTTTCCTTTCCCGTAACCGAGCTTTTACTACTGGCATTAACGTGAGATTAGTAAATGAATAAATACAAATTCTTACATTGCTTCCTTCATCTAGCCCTTGTCCACCTGGTCCACCAGAAGAATATCCACCATTTCCGTTTCCATTCACTGCTCCGGAAGGTGGAGGACCATAGCTGTCTTGGATTTGCCCTTGTCCGCCAAAATTACCACCACTACCAGCTCCTCCGTTTTGTCCACCAAAGCCTTGAGATGGACCACCACTGCTATATCCATTATCTCCTCCTTGAGGAGTACCATAATTGCTAGATGGTCTACCTCCTTGGCCACCTTGTCCAAAACCATTACCACCTCCTTGTCCCTGAGAATAACCATTTGATGATGGTCGTCCGCCGTTTCCGCCTCCAAAGCCGTTACCTCCGCCACTTCCGCCGCCCGATGATGGTGGAAGATAAGTATTGGATTGACCACCTCCTGAAGAGCCACCATTTCCAAAGCCATTTCCACCAAAACCACCACCGTTTGATTGAGATCCAAAACCACCACCAGGCCTTCCAAGGGCACTGGAGCCACCATTACTATTAGGTGTGCCATAAGTGTTTGAAGGTTGTCCATTTCCAGATCCACCAAATCCATTGCCTGAGGGTTTTCCATTGCCACCACCAAAACCATTTCCTTGCGATGGAGGACCATACGAATCGGATGGTCGTCCGTTTCCTTGACCTTGATTTCCAAATCCTCCCGAAGAGCCAGGACGACCGCCACCACCTCCACCGAAGCCATTTCCTTGAGATGGGGGACCATATGAGTTTGACGGTCGCCCATTTCCTTGTCCTTGATTTCCAAATCCTCCCGGAGAGCCGCCAGGACGACCGCCTCCACCACCTCCACCGAAGCCATTTCCTTGAGATGGGGGACCATATGAGTTTGACGGTCGTCCATTCCCTTGTCCTTGATTTCCAAATCCTCCCGAAGAGCCGCCAGGACGACCACCTCCACCACCCCCACCGAAACCATTTCCTTGTGACGGTGGACCATACGAATCGGATGGTCGTCCGTTTCCTTGTCCCTGGTTTCCAAATCCTGCTGAAGAGCCACCAGGACGACCACCTCCACCGCCGCCACCAAAGCCATTCCCTTGAGACGGTGGACCATACGAATCAGATGGTCGTCCGTTTCCTTGACCTTGATTTCCAAATCCTCCCGAAGAGCCAGGACGACCGCCACCACCTCTACCGAAGCCATTTCCTTGAGATGGGGGACCATATGAGCTTGAGGGTCGCCCATTCCCTTGTCCTTGGTTTCCAAATCCTCCCGAAGAGCCGCCAGGACGTCCGCCACCACCACCTCCACCGAAACCATTTCCTTGTGATGGTGGACCATACGAATCGGATGGTCGTCCGTTTCCTTGATTTCCAAAGCCGCTTGAACCAGATCCACCTGTACCAGTTCCCGAAAAACCTGGCGGACCATAGCTGTTTGAAGGTGTGCCAAAATTATTGCCACCGCCAAAATTTCCACCAGATCCTTGACCACTTCCACCTTGGAGATCAGGGGGTCTAAACTGATCAGAAGGCCCACCACTACTATAGCCACCATTCTGTCCCCCCTGTCCTGGAGGAAGATAAGAATTGACGGGAGGCTCTGGCCGTGCCGTGCATAACGAAAGCACAGCCATCAAACATAGCGCCTAAAAATTATTGATCTTTTAACAGGTATCGAAAAACAATACTAATTTTAGATGAGTGGTACATTTTATCAAAGATAGATTTAGAGATGGTGTATCGACCGAAAACGTCCGATCCGGCAAAACATCACTATCTATTTTATTTGTAGAAAGTAATATAATGCACTTGCTTACCTTATACATGATGGCCGATTGAACGAGAACTAATGAGCGCGATATTGGCTAATTGGGTCCAGCTTGAGAACAGTGTGTGGACTAGAGCAGTCCCTTGGGGGAATCCCCGTGAGAGGTAAGTAAGAGTGTGAGCGCCGTCCCTTATTCTCGGAGTGCGCGAACACCGTCGTGCAAGCTGAACCAAACGAGAATGACAAAACTAAAGCCGTAATCGAGTTTATATACTCCCCGGCTCTGTCCACGGCGTTAGATCATGGATTTGGTGCAACTCCAGCCAAGATTTACAGCGGAGATCGTTATAACTGTGTCATGACGGTGAATCTATCGCTCGCTCACTCTCACTCTTTCTCTCTCTCTCCTCTCTTCTCCTCTCCAACACATGTGTGAGCGCACGTGGTAAAAGAGTGGGGTTCCGAGCGCACGCCACACAGCCGATAAAGGATTCCTATACCCACTCTATTCCGATTTGCCGCGTTCGCGGTTTCGCGTGTGCTGCCACTGCCGCAGCCGCCGTCGCTGCCATAACAAAGTTAAATGAAAGGGCAACGGCAAAATCTAGGACGACAACACATATACCCATCTCACCTCGTGGAGGCAAGCACTTTAAAGCTTACCTTTGCTCAATGGCGCGCGGGGTGATGAAATTAATAGGGAAACTGGCGAAATTCATGCAAATCGTCGAGCGCGAAAGCAATCTTGATTCTTTCTCGTTCGATTTTTCCCATCCTTGCTCGCTCGCGCGCGCATGCGCTCTCACACAAATACGAACACATACGTCGAACATAACAGATTTTACGTTTTATTTCATCAAATATAATTTATTCTGAGAGGGATTGAAGGCTATGCGCAGGCAGCCTGCAATCTACTTCTACGCGAATAGCAATTGAAATTCGTCCCCGTTATCATGGCTCACTTAGCCCATAGTTTAGAAAGCCGTTAAGTGTGATGAGAGGTGTGAAACTGTAACAGCAGTAGTCGCTCAATCAATTCGCGCGACACGCCCCTGAAATAAGCATCCAAATATCTGTCGTTTGGCTCATCTTGGCTGATTAAATCTTCACACGACTGATACGCGAACGCGGAAACGAAGCGGGCAACAGCAGCAACATCGGCAGCTCTAAAGAACCGGTAAACGCGGCAGCAACAGAAGGGTAATATGATATGTACCGCCAGGACGATTATGATAAATGCATGATCACTCGTGAGAACCGAACAGGCAGGCGGCGGCATGCAGGGCCTGTCTGAGCCAATGCCTCGTGAGAGTGACTTGACGTTATGTGGCGAAGCGAGGGAGAAAGACAATGTGCGCTCTCCTCTGTTGCTGTCTCGTTTCCTCGGGGAAGTTCTAGCTGCGGCTCACGGCGCGGCGATACGATCTGTTTTGCTGATTTGCCTAGAGGCCAAACTGCACGGTTTCGGCCGCGATGAATTTCGTATAAACGAAGGACTTGCATCGCCTGATCATTGCGTAATTCACGGAGAGCAGTATTGTTAGAATGTAATAATAGTATATGTGCGCAGCGATCGCGGCACCCGCCAACCTCGGGCAATTTGCCAGCGCTTGCAAAACGTCTTTGGTCAGCTCGACAGCGGGGGATCGAGCATGAAAAGTGTATTGTAGCTCTAAAGGGGAATCCTTGCTCCGATGTGGTTTTTTTTATTCTTCGGATGCGCTTGCTGATTGGTGCAATCGGCGCTGCAGGATGTGGGACGCTTACATGTGGACGGTTTAGAATGGGAGAGGGGATATTTCGTCACTTGCCTCATTGTAACTACACTTTCATTAGGCATGTCAAGGGGCTTTTGACGTCTTTTTACGTATAGAGCTCTCTCATCGCAGAGGAAGACGCGAGTATATACACACACATACACATCTCGCTGTGTGCACTCTCCCCCGTTGAGCACCAATTTCCCCACACTTTACGAGTGTAAGCGAGGAATGTATTTTATTGCTTTACATCACACTGCTTTTAGTATAGCTATCGTCGATGCCATCGAAAATACGCGCTTCATGTAAATTTATATCTGTGTATGCGCATCCATCCTTTCTCGCGCGCGTGATATGAGTGCGCGCGGAAATAATACACAGCTAAGCATGCTCATCATATTGCGATTTGCCAACTTGTTGCGCGCGCTCGTTTCAAAACAGATCGTAACTAATTTCGAGACCGAGAGACGGGGCGAGGGGCGACGGTATGGCGGGGAGGGGGGGGGGGGGGGAGAAAGATCTTATTGTGTCGACGAGTTGGATCGATATGACATACACATCGGCTCGTTACTTTTACGTAAATTACATGGTACTGCGCACTTTGTTAATACGCGTATTGTTTTCCAGCATGATCTTGGTGATCAGCGTCCAAGATGTTTTTCCACGTCGCGCGATCGAAATCGCGACGGAGAGCGCCTGCAGCTGTACACAACTTAATTTCCCGAGGGCGATGTGGTAAGGCTCTACGCGACGTTATACGTTGACACGATCTTTATTGATATTCTCGTTGCTCAAGCTGCTCTTCTTGTCGAGACTTACGCTCTCGCTGTGAGCGTGTACGTATACACGGTGTATATACGACAGTGGTCGACGTTGTATTATACAAGGGTCGGCGAATATAAAACTCAACAATGTCGTACAGTGTGCCGCGTCAAAAAGAAAAGCTACGTTACGAATCGGTTGGATACGAACCTCGTCAGAAAAGGCAATGGTAGATGAGACTGTGGTTGGCTTATGAAATTTTCCATAAAACCAAGATCATTGTACGCGAGCACTACAAAGTTAATTGGGAGAATTTAACAACTAATGTACACAAAACAGAGGAAGTGGGAGAGAGTGAGTAGGAGAGGCACAATATTTTCATTCGTTGAAAAGGTTGTGCAAAAGTACCGATAGCTTTGAGAACCGTATTTTTCCAGCTCATAGAGCCTTTGAAATTCAGCTGCTTTCATACGGCATTTCTCTTTACGTTAGACGTGTCCATTCAACGTTGAAGTCGTACGCTTTACACAGGCCCGGTATCACTTTAACGCCCTTTGTAAAAGCGGATCGCGCGCGCGGAATGGAAAAAAAAAACTGGCAATGCTGAAGAGTGTCCCTTTGAGTCGCGGCTCTTTTTTTCCTTGCGGAAATCCAAAAGCTGCGTGCTGCGAGCAGAGCGACTGATATCAGCGCGCTTTAATTTGCAATGTAATCGAGGAGGCGCTGACGACGGCTCATTTGCAAGATTAAATGATCGGAGTGTACTTTGAATTGAGAGACGCGAGCAGTTTCGAGAAGCGGCAGCTGCGAACACGGGGCACGCGCCAGCGCGTGTTTGCGCGATGGCGCACGTCTATCCTTTAAATAAGCCTGAAATTACGTATACACGTTCGAAATGACATCTTTTATTTATGGTAGCATTCTTCTTCTGATGATCTCTATACGTTACAAAATATGCACATAAGGCGCGTTACAAAACTACACTTTTGCGCACGTTCAAAGCACCCATTCACACTTGCTTAGAGCAACGTGCTGCTTTTCCAATGAAAAAAATTTTCAATCTTTATTTTCAGCAACAATTGCCTCATCGATTGTGTCCGCGTTCTACGTGAGCGCAAAATTATGAACGCAGCATAAAGCAAAGCGGATATGGCAATCGCGAGAGTGTACATTTATCAAAGATACACTCGCATATCGAATACACTCCTCGTAAGCGAAGCTTCAATGTTGATCAGAGTACAACAAGCAACCCAATCGCATCGCGCGCGAGCGCGTTATTTCCAAAGTGCGAGCTGTGTTGTCATGTTGAGTAGCCTGGTGTGCGAACGTGTACGTGTATGTGCGTGTGTACGTATAGTAACGCCGGGGGTTGAGCAATCGTTGGGGCTCTTCACCTGATCTAATTTAGGAGCCCAACATCGATCTGCAGCTGTCTGGCCGCGATTGCACAAGCCCGTTGAAGCATCGCTCGCGCACATACATACACACACACATACACACACACACAGCTTGGATTCTCACTGCGATAAATGCTACCGCCAACCACCGGACGAGAGAGACGACGGCACAATGTGCGCATCCTCTTATTTCATGCGTTCTCTCTCTTTCTCTTTCTCTCTCTCTCTCTCTTTCTCTCCATTTAATTTTGTAACTAGCTGGCTTGGATGCATGCTCGGCCACATTACTATAGAAATTTGAAAGTACCTAAGATTGGCAACAGGTTTATTTATTTTAAACTTTTTTAAAGTTCTCTTTTCTTCGTACATCTCGATTCATGGGAGAATCACAACGCTGCACGAGTTACTTCTCTCCCTCCCTCTCTCTCGCTCTCGTAATTAATTGTAATGCGTCCCCGGCTTCGCTAATGCGTGACTATGCTCAACACGAGTAGGAACGAGCTGCGGGAGATGCTTGAAACGATTTATGGAATTTCGTAATGGATTCGCTCTACCTTGGTCGACCGACGAAATTCATTAAACTGTTGCTTGAATTCTTTTTTTTTTCAACAGAGGACTTTGAGTGTTCCAGCACTTTACCTCTAGTAATTGTTCGAAAATTACTCAATCTCGTAGACTTATTTTTGTTTGAAATTGCACATATCGTCATACAGTGAAATTGGCTAATTTCAATTGCATAGATGCGTAGATCATACGTCAAAATTTTAAATCAATAACCACCTTCCGGATAGCTTTGGCGGCCAAGCTAAACAGTATGAAGCAGTTTGACTTATATTAAAAGATAAATGAATCGAGCCTGGTATCCCTTTAAGTTTGGTTCGATTAATTGAGCCGCACGCGCGAGCAAGGCGACTGCATCGATCGTGCAAACTTGTTAGGATGACGATAAGTTGTGTCTCTTTGAAACTCGTCTCTGCGGTTTGGACCCACGATTCAGGAAAGCTAAAATAAAATAAGTAACGGAAGGGGAGGGGGGAGAAGAATGAGTAATCATGTTACTTATGTATGTAATTTATTGGATAAAGAAGTGGCATAAGCGAGGCTAAGATAATTGCTTGTGGGGTAAGTCAAAAGTTTGACTGCACGCATTAGGTTTGCACTTTAACATTGAGGTTATTAA